GGCCAGGAACTGGAGAAGGGAGTATTAAGGGAAACTCCAAGATTCGAACATGAACTTTCGAGCGTACCGTCTTTAAACTTTAAACCTTATGTTTAATAATTAGCGATGATATCTAGATGCTGCACAAAAAAAAAAATTGTAAAATTAATATAATAATTTATTGTTAAATAAGTAAATTTATATAATAATATGGTGAATTTTTTAATAATAAATGTGAATCATATTATCATATATCATAATTATAAATTTGCAATGTCACATGCCATTATAATTATATTAGTGTTTGTTTTAAAATTTAAAAAATAATTAAACTATTAGTTATAATTGAATGAATTATATATTTTAAATTATAAATAATAACAATTATCAATTATTAAATATTAATTATTAATTATCAATTACATCAAAATAATTAATTCAAACATCTCATTTAGGTAGTTTAAACCTTCATACAAAATACGTCCCGCTCTAATATGAAAATAACAATATTTCTTGACGCATACCAAAATTCCCATAACTTATTTTTATGCAATAAAGTAATAAGTTTATTAGCCAAGGTTTTTTCTGTTTAAATGGGATATATCACAGTTCAACATGCCAAAAGTTTGGTGAGATTGTGAAGAAAAACAAAACAAGTTTTCTCAAAAAAATGCAAAAAATAAAAATGGTCCTTAACCTTATGATAATTATCTTATATTACCTTTCAATTTTCATTTAGACTAAAAATAGTCATAAACTAGTTTGAAATGGACAAACTATGTCTTTATGTTTGTTAATTTCGTTAAGTTCTTCATGTAAATTTGATCAGACAGCACCCAAAAGTCCAATCCCTCTAAACCCCCATGATTTCAACTTGGAGTTCTTTGAAATTTATATAAGTTTATACGTTTAATAGGTGAAATTAAACTACTATTAAGTTGTTCACATAAGCAAAGTTTCATTTCAAGAAAAGCATACTCAAATTTAATATGGATTAGAGATAGAAACATGAGTTTTTTTTTTTTTTTTTTTGTTATTGACAAGCTTTTCCTCCCTTAAAGTACTATGCAAATCTCAATAAATTTTCAATTTAATTTTCTTTAAGAACTAAACAAAAGCATAAATTGCATATAAAATTCGTCTAATTTTGAAGCATACCTCAAAACAATAGATTGGTTGCTTATGCTTAAGTACATTTTGAATTCTAAAGGGTTATATACTTATATGTGCTAATCCAAAACCACATTTATTTATTTATTTTAATAAATGCAAAGCTTCATTTATCTAGTAAATTGTCTATACAAGAAGCAACCAAAGATGTTACAATCAATGGAAAGACTATAACAAAGAAAACTCTTCATCCTACAACTACACTAATGTATTCTATATAATACTTCTAAACCCCCATTATATAGGTAACGAGAAAAAATTTGAGCTAATAAATCTCAAAATCTTATCTCTAACATAAAAATGAATGTCTCCAACATTAATTAACAACACAGATTGGAACTGTTGTCTCATAAACAAATTGATTAGAAAGAGATGTTTTGTCTACTTGGGGAAGGTTAGGGATCATTTATTGTCTAAATAAAAGATTGATGTAATATTTAACACTTAATGCAAAGGTTGGGATGGTAAATTGGACATTTACCCAAAAAACAATAAAAACGCAAGAAAATTCGGTACGGCAGTAAGAGACGGGAAACGAGTGCAGGCATCTACGCATCCGCATCTGCCTCAGCCAAGGAAAAGTCAAGCACACCGCACCATCTCTTCTTCACCACCTTCAACTTCCCTCGTTAAAGTTCACCGAACCACGAAAGCCCCATTCCTTTCTTCCTCGTTCTCGTCGGATTTCTCTCCTACAAGCAATGCCAGCACAGAAGGGCTCCTACGAGGACTCCGCCACGCCGGATGAGGAAGAGGATGAACCCACCCCTTTCAACAACAACCACGACCAACGGCAACAGGAAAACGATGATGATGATGATGATGCTGATGGTACTTCGAAACTGAGAGATTCTAACGAGATTACTATACGGTTTTGTGCATTCTTTTGACTGCCCTGTTCTTGGGTTTTTTTTTTTTTTTCTCCTTTTTGCTTCGCAGAATCCGATCGCAGCGGCCATTCTTCTAGCAATGAGGAAAAGGAAGAGTACGTGATTCTCTTCTCGATGCTCTGTTTTGCGTTAATTGTATTTCATATGGGGTTTGATTTTGGAATGCGGGGCTTGATTTTGGCGATCTGCATGGTTTTGTTTTGCGTTAACAAGTATTCTGAAGAAAGTTCTTCGTGGGTTTTCGTGGAAAGGACGATTTAAGCTTCAGGAGAACTCCGTCGTTAAACTTCTACAGCCGCTCTTAGATTGGTTGCTTTTGCTTTATTTCCAATTGGGTATGCTCGATCGTATTCAATGAAACCTCGCGGAGCTTGGATTGGGGTCTTCTGGGTCGTGCTGTTCTGCCCTCGAATTTTCTTGTGCGTACGCGTGCATGAAAAGTTGGTCTCGTGTCTGCAGAATTGTGGCTTGATATTGGGTTTTGCTTAACTGGTTGAAATTTGCTGGAGAATGTCGAGTTCAATAGGTTGCATTACTTGCATTGTTTGACTGTGTTTCGTGTGCTTTCTGCAGCGTCTAATAAATGCGAGATTTTGACTTCTCTCTGCTAATGAACTTCCTTTGAATCAATCCTATAGGCTTTTCGTTGTTTTTGATTTGAAGTTAAGATTGTCAGCCAACATGGTTGTTTCTGATCTGGGTATGGTCGGGGTAGCTCTCTGGCCAATTTAGTTAAGACGAGCTAGTGGTGTTCCTGCATTATTTGCTCAAAGTTAGGGATTTTTTGGATTCAGGCAGGGGCAATTCTTTGCTACGTTTTGGGATTTTTTTTGCAGTCATGCTGAATTGGAGTTTTTCATTTAACTGAATCTGCAGGATATTTAAGTCCTTTTCTTCTAGTATAGTTAACTCAGTTTAATATGGATGCACCATGTAACTGTTATAGTATAGTTGAATCAAATGATGAAACACTTTTTGTGAAACGGTTATTTACCCTATGCCTCAAGGAAATGCCTTTTGGATTTCACATTTGCATTCAACACCTGTGTTTTGCTCTCTTTTCTTGATGTTTATGCTAGAATGGCATAGGTCAAATTTTCGAATAATTATTCTAACTTAGGTGTGGATGTTTTATAATTGTCATACTTGGATTAGAATGGATTAGGATTTTCCCTTTTTTTCCTTTGAAATAGGTAGTTCATCAAGCTTTTTGTAAGCCTCTTGGATCTAAGTTAGTGGAGTTCATTTTGATTTCCTCAACTACTCCTCTTTTTGTGCTCACCCGCATTTGATTAAAATTAAAGTGGTAAAACTGACTTTTGAAAGCACTTTCTGATTTCTTTTCTCGAAAATAGGGGCTCTTTTTCATTTTTTTCTCATATTTTTTGGATCTCCAGAATCTGGCACATGCTTCATTAGTTTTTGCATTCTGTTACCATTAAATTTGTTGTTTTGACTGAGCTATGTACTTCCCTTATACCCATATTATCTTACCAAGCTACTATTTCAGTAATAATGTTCTTGAAGACATACAAGAAAACGGTGGAAGTGTTGGTTTAAGTTGAAGGACTTACATTACAGACCATTTAAATTTCATTAAGGGCTTGATGATATATTTTAATCATATGTTTGAAAATGGTTTCACAGCAAACCTTTTGGTCATGAAGAGTTGAATTAGAATTTTGGAGTATTTATCAATATGGTTTGCATAATCTACTAAATCATTTCTGTGGCATTTTATTGCAGGTTTGTTTTAGTAAAATTGTCTGATATTCGCAAAGAAGTTCAATGTCCAATCTGCCTAGGTATTTTTCTCAAGTTCATTTTGTCCTCTTGCATGCCAATCCATGTTGTCAGTTCTGGGCCTTCCGTCTAAAGGTCATCAGCTCATTGAGGTCTACACAGGTAATCATCAACTTTCCTAATACTGATGATGATAACTGCCATCTTTTTGTTGTATCCAGGGATCATTCGCAAAACAAGAACAGTTATGGAATGCTTGCATCGCTTCTGTAGGGAATGCATTGACAAATCTATGCGGATGGGGTATGTTTAAACCAACATCATTTATTTATTGTTTATTGAAACTTGGAATTAGAGATCCTGATCCGGTTCTGGTTTGGGATGATCCTGTGAAATTCTGTAACAACTTTGCCTTGTAAATTCAAAGACCCAATGAAAATATTTCTTGAAATTCACTTAAAGGAATAACGAGTGCCCTGCTTGCCGCACGCATTGTGCCAGTCGCCGATCTTTGAGAGATGATCCAAACTATGATGCCCTAATTGCAGCCCTGTATCCAGATATTGACAAATTCGAAGAGGAGGTATTAGTTCATTTGACACATCTGATTAAAACTCATGTTCTTTAATTGTTGGAATTCAGTCATTCATAATTCATCATTGGGTATGTGGTATAGGAATTGGCTCTCCATGAGGAAGAGATGACTCGTAATAAGCAGGTGAAGTATTGCTAGTTTAGTCGGCTCCATGTGCCAATATGCAAGTGTCTCTGCCTAGTTTTCCCATAATTAGTTGGGGAAATTCAAAATTCAAATTATTCATTTGTTTTTAAGTTCATGGTTTTTTTTTTTTTGGTAAAAGTTTTTAAGTTCATAGTTTCTTTTTAAGTTCATAGTTACTTTTAATATTTTTCTAGGGTTCATTCCTTAATTGTTGCTAATTGTGAGAGAATTTTGTTATCTTGTGAAGAAGGCAAAAGTCAAAAAATGATGTTTTATTGTTCTTATTAGTCAATCTCTTCACATCTGACTTTTGGAACTGTCATGAAGATATATCCATATAAGCGTCTTGTATGGAAATAAGGTCTTCTGCTGAATTACCAGACTAGATAACCAATATTTACAATTTTGACTTTTGAGCATTCATGTGTGTCTGTGTCTCTCCACTGGCACCTATGCACATAACCTTCAGGATACGTGTGCATGTGCTTGCTTGAACATCCTCCTTTGCTTGGTCTTCATTTTAAAGAGACAAGTTTATTTGCCAGATCCAAGATTCAATTGCCCAAACTTTGAAGCGACAATCAGAAGCTCTGGGTAGGAAACGGACTGCTAAGACCACACCAACTGCAATCCCGAGGAGAACTCAAAATCGATATCGAGGGAGGAGAAACTATCGAAATTCTGAACTTCAAATATCAGATGACGAGGCTGCAAACGGAGATGGGAGCAAAGACTCTTCTTCTGCTGATGAACACTCTACAGAAAGCAAAACAAAGCGGTACAAACGATGGAGTGGAGATCGGTTTTCTCATCCTTCCTCAGCTGCCAGTGCAGATGGGGGCATTGATGGGAATGAATCTTGTGAAGCAAACAGAGAATCCATTTGTATATCTGCAATGCTTCTTAGCCCCTCAGAAAGGCTTGCCTGGGGCAAAGGTGGTATACGCAGTCACACACGTCATGGAAGTACTAGTTGTGGCAATGGTAGGAATGCTAGGAACAGTCGCATCTTGAAGTTGGTGGATCATCTCCGGAACCTAGATGCAAATAATGATGAGGTAAAGTTGAATTTTCAGGTGCTACCTTGTGCACTCTAGAGTAACGGAGAATGAATCATCTCAAATTGTCCTTTCCATATTAGCTATGTGAATTTATTTATTTTTTTGGCCATAAACAATGTGAATTGATAAACAGAACTTTTGCTTGATGCTGTGGCTGGTCTTTGCTATTCTAGATCGTCATGCAATTTGATTCCTTTCCTCAAAGGAAATTGTTGTAATGATGAGTTGCTTTCTTTATTTCAGCTGGATATCCAGCTAATGATGGTTCCTGTTGGTGAAGAAAGAATACCGAGCTTACAGAAGCCTTACCTCTGCTGCAAGCCCACTTTGTCTGTAATGCAGCTCTGCCAGGTACTTAATCTTTGAACTCAACACAAGCACACACAAATCCCATTTCGGTTCAGTACAACTCATTACATTTTCAAATTCTAAAGCATCTTAACTCATCTCTTTCCTAGTACGTTGCTCTGCATACTGCCCTGCAAGCTGATGAAATTGAAATGCACTTGGTAAAGGAGTTAAATTCCACTATCAACTCATCAGCATCAATGGTAACCAAGTATACCACAGTAGATCCATGTAGAGATAAGTTGCAAGTTTTAAACCAGGAAGAAACTTTGGGAGCACTTGAAACACACAATCTAAGTCATGGTCATTTGGTGAGCCCCTCAGGAATTAAACATTTATATTTTCTTTTGCTCTTCTGTTACTTTATATAAATTCAAATTTCTCTTCTGGTTTTGGTATCATTTTTCAGCTTCTGGCGTACCGGAGAAAGTCATAGAACTCAGAAGGAGTAAAGCAAAGTAACTTCTACTTTTTTAAGAATAAGCAGCAGCAGCAGCAGTCACATGGAAGAGTGTATATGGTACCATAGATATTATTATTATTCTTTCAATGTTCATAGGCGAATCCACACACAGGATCTCATGTAGATTTATCTATCTTTTACAGTTTCTATGTGCCACGATGGTTTGTCCCATTTATATATACAGAGTCAACCTTTTAGTTCTAAGTAGTGAGAAATAACTAAACTTTATATCAAAGGAATTATTTTCCAAGTGCGTGAGAGGTGCATAAAACCTAACTCGAAAATAATTGTAAATGAATAAAAGAGATATGAGCGTTTTCTGATGGGACTACAGAGCGACTTGAGAGCAACTCAGCATCTGCATCATGCCCTTTGATTTCCTAATGGCTAACACATGGTCCCCCCAACCTACCAATTTCCAAATACAATAAATCAATCTCTCTCCACCTATCAAAAGCTTGATGACCCACCAATGTATTATTGATATCTTATCCACCTCAAACCTTATCTTTGGAAAAATATGCAATAAAAGAACAAAATGTCACTGTATGGAAACCCAAATCAAGGGGCTAATTATCTTCACGAAGTCATGAATGACTCAGCATTAGATCCGTTAAACAACACTAGATAATAAAATAGAACTTTATATTATTCATTCCACAGTGAAAAGCATTAGATCGCATTAAACAACACTAGATAATAAAATAGAACTTTATATTATTCATTCCACAATGAAAAATAGTTACCATCACCACCGTCGCGGCGGATCCCCGACTGCCGGAGACAATCAAACGCCGCGGCAGCATTACACAAAACTCAACTTTAGAACTACTTAATAATTACAAAACAGATCATACTGGCTCTCTCACATCTAGTTAGGATGATGACACGTAATCGCATATAGGACACGTGGCGGACGATGGAGAGGGAAAACAAAAACATAATACTGCTGCTATTTACAATCAACGTTGCCGACGATTAGCTTGCCATCTCAGCGGTGCACGCTCCTGGTTTCCCCACTGTAGAGCCTGAAATCAAGTGCAAACAGCTTCACTTTAGTACCATTATTAAGATTTGCCTAGGAAATTGAGATCATCGGTCTGATTTTAAGTCTTGATTGAATGTTTAAAAGCTGATGAAGATCAAATGGTTCAAAATATAGAAGATGAGTGTAGTATGGTGCTATATACCATATATACACAGATCTATTTCCATGCGCCTATGAAACAGAGAGCGACGTTTTCCTTCCTTCTCTGAGCCTCTGTTTGGTTGCTGAGAAAATGGTGGAAAAAGCATGGGAAACCATTTGTCTTACAGATTCGTAATTATTTCCTCAAAAATAAACCGAAAACAGACAGAAATATAAATTATATCTAATACCCAGGAATTATAACGTCCTTGAACTGACTGCATGCATAAATAATCCTATCATTTTCATGTATGTTCTCAACATCCAAACAGAAAAGTAGAGTTATGTCGACGGTGGGAAAACTTGTGACGTACCAGTCATAAACAGTGGGGGAGTTGGGCTGGGCAGGCTTGTCAAAAACCTCCGCTCCGATGGTCTTGGTAGCAAGGTTGCTGCCGGGATGGAACACGCTCCTCCACACGTTTTCCTTACGAGCTGACAGCGGCGTCGTGGGTGTCACTGGTGTCACCGGTGTGCTTGGACTCGCCGGCATCGACAGTGACCTCAGGAACTTATTCCCTCCTTCGCCATCTAAGAAAACAAAAACAAGAAAGATCAGGCGTATTTGCAAATGTGCACATCATCAACATGTTCAAATTATTTACGTTCAAATATTTTACCTCTGGTGGTTGAGATTCTTCTAAGCTTTTCAAGGCCATGCTCTGGCTGAGGTCCGGCCACCACATCATCCCAAAGCTTCTCTAGCATCTTCTTTGATTTCTCCCTTTCCTTTCCCCTGGATCTTTGTGGAGTCTGTAACTTGGTATGGTTTGCCTATATATAGCCGGTGCTGGAATATCACTTATTTTAGGGTGAATTTAATTTTACTATTTCCAGAGTCATAAAGATATACCCAGTTCTCAATGGCAAGATTTAATTTAACAATAGTTTTTATAATTTCACCTTAGGTAAAAATAATAATTACATATTACTTTACTTTTTTTAATTTTAGTAAATTTAATTTTTATTTAATAAATTAAAAATGTAATAATTAATTAATAAAATTTATATTTATCTTTAATTAATTATTAGTTAAATAAAATTTTTATTTAATATATATCATAATTGTTTTTTAAAAATAAAAATATAAACATATTAAATTACATCTTTAAAAAATAAATAATTAAATTTAAATTCTTTAAATTAAAATTAAATAAAAATAGTAAAAATATAACAGTAATAAATGAATCTTAAGTAAAATCGTGCAAGCAAGTAGGGAAATGAGGAGTGGAGATAAATGAAACTGAAAGGATGGATAAGGATGATGACCGAGTAAGTGGGGCCCGCAAATAATATCTTACTCTTTTTGTCCTATTCCCATAGAGGAATAGACAAGTGTAGTGCGGTCCATCCAGATTGGGGATTTTTGGCTGACACGTGGGTCTGAATCCTTTCATCATCATTCTTGATTCCGTTGGATTTTTTAAAAAGGTACTGATTCTACTGAAATCGCGGTGATACAGTGTTCAATATTTTTTTAATCTTCCCTAGAAGATATTTTTGGGTGACGATGTGTAGTGCCCCTTTTTTTTAAAAAATAATAATAATAATAATTCGAGGAGATGAGACTTATTTATATAGAATTTTTAGGTATTATATTTATATAAAATTTTAATTATTAATTATTTAATTTTTAAAAATTAAAATGCTTAATAATTTTTTAAATAAAAATATAATTATTTTTAATAAATATAAATAAATCTTAATCGTTAAAAGTTGCACCCAATAAAGTCACAGTCTCTGTGTGTGTATAGGAGTCCAGACACCATCAACCAAAGTTTAACAGAATCAATGGGAACCCGCATGCAGAACAAGATTTCAATGGACATTGCAATGGACAGCAATTCGCTCGACTCTCTCTCCTTGCTGATCTTGTTTGTAGTCAAGATCAGCTAGCGAAGTCTCCTCTTCCTGCAGGAGTTCATAAGATCAGAAAAAGACCTGGAATTCGAGTTTGGTCCTCCTGCACCTGCAAACTTGGGCAAGTTTTCTCCTGCTGATGCGATCATCCCCAACAGTCAGATACCACCGCAAGTATTTTCAACTCAGGCCATCAACAAACCGCACCACAAACACTCAGCACCAGCTTCTAACATCAGTAACAAGAGATGAATAGGTAATCATACTGATTACAAGAAGGCTTTGGTTGAAGAAAATCATAAAGTGAGAAACCAAGCAGATAGAGAACGCACTGCACAAAGACAAAGCTCGTGGTTTGGTCAGAAGTTACTTCTGTCATTTGTCTCCCCATGCACGGAGTGCCATGCCGTCAAGTCTCCTGTGAAAGCAAATACCATGCCCCAACAAAATGCAAAGTTCCATTATAACATGCCCTAACAAAATGTCAAGTTCCATTAACTTATTAGTGCTATCCTCTACAATCTTTTCACAACTGAATGTCAGTTGAGATCTAAGACAGCTAGTCTAGTGACAGGCTTCAACATAAACAGAGATTCTAGGCTTAGCGATGGTAATCAATGCATAATCACACCCTGTGATGATTTATTCAATGGGAGACTTTCGTAAGTGTGATTCTTAGATATCCAAGCAATGATTTCTGCTGAATTATCATTTGAAATTCTACAGTTAGTGTAGTTGAATAAAAATATCTGACATGGTTTTGCTTTCTCCATACCGAATAAAATCAGCAATGCTAGTTGTAAGACTGGAGTTTCTACTCTTAATTTACATTTCATGCCCTTGATCTGATGGTTCTTGTTCTCCCACTATCATATCAAAGCATTGGGAAAATTTTCATTCACAAGTAATGTATTTCAAATTAGCATGCTAAGTTCTATAAGAGTAGACTTTGCAGTTTACACACTACAACATATTACTTCATATGGTCTACCAAACCTCATTCTTGATAAAAGGAGAGTTCTCAACATAAAGCACTCTAGAATTCTGCATCATCAGTATTAATTAATAGTTGATTCTATAAGAGTAGACAAGTACTCCTCATCAATCAACAAAACCATGTACAGCAATGACAATGACAGACAAAACAAACAAGCACACACCATTCATGCACAAAGGAAACCTAAAGGCAAAACTAACAGATGAAGATATGCAGAAACGATGATTAAACAAAACTAAAAAACAAAGTGCAAAAATGTTCACAAAACTGCTCAGCTATAACCAAAATTGATCCAGGAGCTGAAATCCCAAAAGTTTATGGGGCCTAAACAACAGATCATACTCACAGAATCGTACAAATGTGGTTTATATTAATATTTGCAGAAAACTTTACAAATTGAAGAAGCTTTCTCCCTCGCATCTCAAGATTTGCCATATCTTTCAATATACCCCTGCAATTAGGTAAGCAGTGTTAAATGTCACAAACAATTTACATCAAACAACAAGAACAAACACGTATGCCTATTTGATCAAGAAAGGAATATGGATCAAACTAAACTCTCGGCTTTTGAGTACATAGTAAAACAAACAAGCATCATTAATTGATAGAGGAATTCATCAATGAGGTTAAGAAATAAGGGAGATGGGGTTAAAGTAATATGAAAATTTAAAATCTACAACATCTAGAGACTAACCTTGACTAGCTTGGCAATTTTTGGTTGGGACAGAGACAGGTATTGCTTGGCAGATTCCGTTGTAACTGGAATTTGGTGAGGCCGCAAACTGCTAAGAACCTTGTCAACTGCTTTTTTTACTATTGTGTTATGAGCATCTTTGCTTAAATGACCCTCATGCCAGGTTGGCTTCAACATTCCTTTCACAACATCTATGAGAGCAACACGGAAAAATCTTGCTGCTTTTGATTCTTTCAGCACATTCCCATCTAACTTCTGCTCAATGTCTGTTTCATTGTTTTTTACAGAGCTATCTACTTTTATGTCTTTTCTGTGTCTAGAACAATCACTTTGATATCTATCATCCAAATCCATATCAACTTTGTTTGTCTTTGAAATGCCTTTGACATGAGAGGCATCAGAAGAAATCTCTTCTTTGACTAATTTCCCAATTTGCATGTCAACCACAGAAGTTCCTTCTGTTTTTGCTTCGGTTGCAAGTGAACCCTTTCCAGATGTGTGGCGATTACTGTCCAAAACACCTTCTTGGATTCTATTAGATCGAGTACTTTTATCACCATTGCACTCACGGCCTGGTGTCCTAGTTGATGTAGAATCACTATATGTCAGCTGATATGTTGCATTCAATACAGAAACACCAGGAGCAGAGAAGGAAAACTTGTAATCTCTATCTCCAAAGTTTGGCGAGTCAATGCTATCCTGAAGAGGATCATACTGACTTTGGGGAGATGATGTGCTAGGGATAATGAAAAAGGTTGGTCGAAATGGTACTGATGGTTTCCAATCATCAGAAGAAATTTTTGCTTTATAATCAGCAGACTGCAATGGATGCCCAGCCAAGATAGTCAGAGCAAGATTTTCAGGTTTAGAACTCAAAGTGAAAGAATGAAAAGGAGATGATCCTATCCAAGTAGACGCACGATAAGATGGTGAAATGCCAATTGCTGGAAAAGAATTGCTAAAGTTTGGGGTTGGGAAATGGCTCAAACCTAGTGAAGAATGAGAATTAAGTCTATGATAAATTCTAGAAGTCAGTTCCTCCAGACTGCTTATGTTAGAGGACTGATTCTGACTCTGGCAATCTCCTGAAGATGTAACTGGGCCATTTGATGAAGATCTAAATTCAGATAGAAAGATGCTCCTGAACACCGGGGAACTTCCAACATTAACATGTGAAGAAGATTTCATGTAATCGTCAGCAGGCAAATTCTGACCTTCACTCTCTTTCCTTGCATCCCTAAATGACTCAGGATCATCTTTGGATGAAGAATATTGCTTGAAGGAAGGGGAAGTAGCCATAGATATATCCTCTCTCTGGAGTGAGGAGAACTTGTTATCTTCAGGAAATGAATGCAACCTTTGGCTTTCATCATGCTTCCATGGCAGGATTCCTTCTGAAGAAATATGAGAAGGAAATTGAGACTTGTATCCAACTGATGAAGGCAGTGCATTGGAAGAAGCAGCAGCCTTTGATCTTTCAGTAGCATTTCTCAATCCTAATGCAAGGAATAGTTCTTATTAGAAATATCATGGCAGAAGAGATTCTCAAATATCTACAAGTTATATTATGTACCTTCATCAAGCTGGAGAACCTGTTGCCTATCAGCAATGGTGGCACCCCCCTCAGTCTGTTGGTCAGCAACATTTATGTTATCTCTTACATGAAGAAACCTACACAAACTTCCTTTGATGCACCATCCTCTAGCAAAGAAGCCACAGATAATCGCTGGGCGTTTGTTCTCATTGTTAAAATCAACACCTGGGGACATAACTTCTGTCCTCATATCAGAAGCAGCAGACCTGAAAATGCCTTTTGGTCAGTGAGAAACTGTTTAAGTATTATTTTGGGGAAGGGAGATATTTACTTCCAAGAGTATGTAAGTTCATTCCATGACAAGAAAAGGCAAGGTGTATTGGAGAAAAACAGTATTACCACACCTTGATGACGTTCTCTTTCTATCCTCTACTGACTGTATGTCAATTTGCTGAATTTCTTGCCCAAAACGTGGAATACTATTAACCACTTCTCCAGAATGACATCTTATTGGGATTGAAGGAATCACCTCTTTCCCAGTAACACTAGATGAATTGGTGGCACTATCACCAACACACAAATGAACCTTGCCATCAGCATTCAGTCCAGCATCCTTCTCACTGACTGCAGATATTGGATGCATGGAAACCTCAAACTTCATGCCTCGATACTCCTTTTCTGTTCTCAAAGGTTCATTTGCAGGACCAGATAATTTGGAATTGCAACTATTGTCTCCCATAGAAAGTTTACTAGATGGTAACACCATTCCACATTTTTCCTGAGTAGAATAACCAGATCCCAGCTTTATGCCTTTCCCACTGGACTCCAAAATGTCAGTACTTACATCTACAAAACAGAGGACTAAATCAAGAAAGTGTCAAACAAAATATTTATCTTCTCTGACAAATTTTTGCAACCAATCTAGTGAAGATGAGTGGATAATATTGAGATTTGAAAGCTCAATGACCTAGCTAATTGATATTGAATACAAATCCAGGAACCTTCCTCGCTGCTTCATTGCAGTAATCAAGAAACGAGTATAAATAGGACAATTTTACCTGATGCATAATAACACGCATCAAGCACCTTAGAACAAGTCCTAAGATCTAGAGATGAGGAAGTAATATAGTATCCATGAAATTTCTATTCCGCTTCTAAATACACCGCTGAGTTCCCTCCCGTATCTTCTTTTGAAATAGCAATCTTATCCTCAAGCAATCAAATACTGAAAATCAAAACCTCTTTACAAGCAAAGCATGGAAATTCACAAGCATTAATATTTCCATTTTCCAACAATGTAACAACTAATTCCAATTACAAAACCAATATGACTTCAACAAACTGAAAGAAATGATAGAATTTTCTGCAAGTTTCAATGTATTCCCCAAAATGAATCAAATTAATACATTAAAAAAAAAAAAAGTAGCAGAATTCCCTAATCTTTGTCCCTTTCCCCTTTCCTCTCTCAACATTGAACACATAGATCATAAACATACTTCCAATTCATTCAAATGATCATTTTCCGACTCGCTTAACTAAACATAATGCTATATCTTACAATGGTGAAACGACATGGAGAAATTCATGTACAATTTACAAGAACGAATCAATCAAAATCAGATTAACTAACCGCTTCCATGTGAAGAACCAGGCAAATCCACTTCTTCATCGTCCTCTTCGACCTCCGCTCTCTCCTCTTCTTCACCATCATCATCGACGTTTCCTGTATCGGAATCGGAACCTTGTTGCTCCGTTTCTGGAGGCGGCAGGTGATTGACGTCATCGGCGAGCGTAGCAACGGCAGAGGAGGTAGGCATTGCTGCCAGGCTCGGGTTTTTCACGGTTCCTTCGGGCGTTGAAGGGATCAGGTTGCCACCAGATGCTAAGCTGTGTCCTAAAGACTGATTTTTAATTTTCATTTTGTGCCACCGCTTGAGAGATGCATCTGCGGGTCTTGACCCATCAAAAAGTCAGGCGCCATCGCTTAGCGCCTGAGGAGGAGATTCATTGCTCGCCCAAGCTCCTTTTTTTTTTGGGCTAATCGGGCTCAGGTCCAGGCCTGCAATGTTCAGCCTTAGCCTGTATTACGATAAAACAAGTAGAGGGCGCCCGCTACGCGGGGCATATAAAAATCTTGGGCATTCAATTTTATAATAATGATAATTTTTTAAAGTCTTATTAAGAAAGTTTTGATATTTAACATAGTTTTTTTATTGACTATTAAATTCATTATTTTCAATTACAATTCATTAAATAATATAAATATGTTAAAAGAAAAAGTGATAATCAATTTATATTATAACAATTTTTTAAAAATAATTTAAAATTATATCATTTTAATAAAATTTTGTTAAAAAATACTACAATACCTTTTGTTTCTAAATCAAAAATGAAGTAATTTTAGTTTTTGCTCATTATTCTTTATTAAAATGAAGTAATTATAAGTTATTTTTTTACCTTTTTTTTTTTTAAACATCAACTTATACCCACTAGTCTCATGTGTCAAATACATATAAAAGCTTTGTGTGTGTAAGAAACTCAATTCTCATTTGCTCCTTTCCTACCCAATATATATTTGTTCCAAGGAATATTTATGATGTCTTGCCTAAAATTAGATGGCTAAAATGATAAGAAAGCTTTGTGGGAAGACATTTTGTTAGTTTGGGGTATAAGACTTCCTAACTTCAAATGAACCAACTTCCATTACCTCATATATATTATCAATTTTTAAATTTGAAAAACCATATTAGCAAAATAATTTTATCATGAAGCTAAATATTATTAGATTATCAGAGCCTTTTTGAGTTGAATCTAACTTTAAAAAATTCTCTTATAGATAAGTGGTATTTAATAAACAATAACAAATTAAAAAATAAAAATAAAAAAGACTAAACTAACATGTGCGAAAGAGGGCGAAAGAGGACGGTCAAAAAATACTTAAACCCCTATGATGTATGTTCTTTTTTAAATTATATTTTGCAACAGAGGGATCTATCTTGGTTCCTAGTGAATTGGTTTTAACTTTGGATTTTATCTTGGGATCAATCACTTGATTTAAGTCACAAAACCTCCCACAAATAAAATTTAGATTGTGAGACAATAGTACGTCCCAGAGCCACCATTTAGCAAAATGTCCATCGAAAAGCTAGTTACCATCACTATATTTGCTTATGGTATTTGCCCGTGATTGATTTTGATTAAATATGCCTTGCAATCAAACTTTGCAACGTGGAATTTAGCCTCCTTATCCTTTCTTGTCCCCAGTAATGAAAAAAAAAATATATGTATATATAAAGCCTATCGCCAAAACTACAATGATTTTATGATTATGTTTGAACATTGGGTGACTTGTTTCCCACTGTCAATATGGAGGTTGTACAATAGGAATATGATCTAGAAATTGACATGATAAGACTAAAGGAACATATGAAAGGAGTCACCATGTTGGGATAAGAGGTGTCCATATTAACAAATCTTGAATTGGACTTGATGACTTCTACTTGTGTAGAGAAAAAGTAGAGCCTGGAAAAAGAAAAAATCCTTGCATGTTTAGTGTACATGTATTAAATTAAATAAAACCATCACCAGAAGCTGAGAATTACTGTTTAGAAAGTCCTTTTTCGTGGAAAAAGTTCTATAAAACCTGGTCTAGAGCCTCCGGCTGCCTGGTAGCACCCAGCCACTTTCAAATAGGGAAGCTGGTAAGGGCTATCTTAATGGACCATTTTTATGCTTATAACTGAGCAGAAGAGAAATTGGTGTCTATATTTTTCAGAAATGAGACTTTAAAAGTATGAAAGGATAGATCCAAAAAGGACAGAAAATGCCTGTAGAAATTCCTATGCTCTCTTTGGATAACTTTTAAAGAAGCCAAGAAGTCCAGTAAATTATGCTCAACTAAATTGACTCTGAACTTCACCATAGTTTCTTCCTAGGCAATTTCAGAACAACATTCAAGGTCTGCAATTCAATTTCTTATTTAGAGATTTAGGAGGAAACCTATGTTATGCACATCCACTAACACTGAGGTAACTCCATGAACAATAAAGTCAAAAGGTGGAATTGGATACTTGAGAAGAAAATATGAGGAAAAAAAATAGAAACCAAGGCCATATTGAAAAATAATGTACAGAATTCTATCAAATCAAATAAATTTTCTCAACATTTAAAATCAATAATTCATTGACAATAGTGGCATAGAAAGAGAATGATAGTAAAGAGGGAAAGACAAAATGATATGCCTTTGAATAACAATAACAATGAATATTATGTTTTTCATATAAAATGTTAGACATATATGAAAGTTTAATTTAAAACTAAGAGTTCATATGGGTATACCCAAGTTTATGTATGAAAGGTAATACAAAGCCACCAAGACATAGGTCAAAATGGAAACAAATTCCAGAGCTAGAAGTGAATTTGCAAAACTCCCAGAAGATAAATGCAATATCTTTTCAGTTGGAAGTTATTGAAAAGAATTATGTGAATAAATCACCATAACATGCAGCTTTTTTAACACTATGGATAGGAAATTGACACTTACCTCATCGGGTCAACGATGCCATAAGGAAACCCATGTGCATATCTAGCAATTTGAAAAAACATTAAAATTTAAACCCATTAACTTATCAGTGATACATAAACAAAGAGAAAAAGTTCAGCAACAGTGAGCCATGCATTTGAATGACATTTCAACAGGTCAATAATGCCACCCAAGAAACCACTTGAAACTATACTTTCTTTAATCATTTAGAATGCTCTCAAAAAATGCAATTTAGTTGGAATCAAACTAAATCCTTTTTCTTCTATTTCCACTCATTTTTTTGTACCATTAGAGCATTGGTCCAAATAAAAATTCCTTGAATGGGTTATATCCACATGACTTAAAAAAAAAAAATCCTTTATAAATCAGTTCAAAATTTGAGTTTTCTAAATTAAACCTAAAGTTTTACTGGAAAGAGATTCCATATGTGCTTGAACTTTTGAAATGAACAAATTTTGTTGAAAATATATAATAAATATTAATTTAAAAATAAAGGAATGATCTTTTGATTTAATTACCCTAGCTGGTACCTGGTCCAAATTTTGCACCTATTTGAGTTAATGGCAGCTTGCTTTTAGCTCTAACAATGACAATTTCCTTTCTAATTCCCACCATGGAAGAGAGAAGTAGAGAACATAGTACAGACAAATAAAAAGAATATTATTGGAGGTGCAACAACTAAAGGATTTTAACAAATACACCCACTCTATTCAAATAAAATCTCAAGGTTATGAAGCAATTCTCAATTTTTTTTTAATTGCATTTTTTCCCAATTTTCCCGAAACTCCTCATGGTTTTTTGTTTGAATTTTTTGCCCAAGTCCGTTGTGATATTTGATACTAACAGCATCCATGGAACAAAGTATATACAATTAGACTTGTTCCACCATTCACTAGGTTCAAGTAAGGTAATTGGCAAAAAACTTTCAAAATTCTCATATATACATATACTATAGTTGGTTATATTGTTTGTTACTTTTAAGTAATTACATATATTTCATTATTTGGCACTCAAACACTATATTTCATTCTTGTCTTAAAACAAACCTAAATCCTTATCGTCCTTGTCTGAAGGGCCCACATTCCACATTCAAGATATTTGTATCCTATTTATTAAATGAGTCCCATTTTTT